CTAATTTTTATCTTAGATTCAGCTGATAATTTGTTGTCGATTTTAGGGAAGTCCTGAGAAAGAGTGTTTCTGCAGTAGCATTAATTCGATCCTAGTTATTTTTGTTACAAAGGCTGTTGTGCTATCTGCTCGGCTGGAGTTGATCTGTTAGGAGTTTAATCAACGAACTTATATAAATGTTTTAAGTAGAGATATATAGGATTTGCTGACTTCTATTATGGATTGACCGAGTGTGATATCAGTAAAGTATATGCAGAAGTCTTCTTTAATCTTTCTTTTTATCGTATGTGACTTATATCCTATTATTTCAACATTGTTCCAGTTTGTCTTCTTCTCTGCCATCACGAGTTACAGCATAGTATTACATACTTCTGAATTCAAGCTTTTGTTGATCCTTCTGTTTCTCCGATGTATTGAAGTCCGCAGTCACAAGGGACGTCACAAATCCTCTCCTTTGGTTTCGTGTGTTCCTAACTGTGATCCTATTGTGTTGTGCTTCTGAATAGTGTTCGACTTTATGGTATTTACACAACATCTGTATGTTGTCAATGAGGGTTGTGGTGGTGTGTTGTCTTTTTTCTTCTTGACGTTTTCAATATTACAAATTTTATTCATTCTGTAAACTGGGCAGTCAATGACTCTTTCAAAAAAGAAACGAATCTACCTGAAACCGCCCAAAACTACTCTGATGATTCATGCTCTTTCTGTAGCTGACCAATCACTGAACTAGTATCCGAAAAAAAAAACTAAACGTGGCAGGCATTTAGTTTGAAAGCTCAGAACACAAGTTTTTAGGTTGTGTTCTCTTCCCAACTGGGGTGCTTGGGAACTTTTGTTCCCCTTCAATCCCGCGCGTGTGTGCTATTTCGTTTCGCGGATCTGTATTTGGCATACAGTATCGTATTGAGCCGAAGGTTGTGACTGAAGTCGGGATGCTGTGGAGACGGACGGAGAAGACCGAAGCAGCATCGTGAGATCCGGCGTTAGTTGAGTCATGTAGCAGGGAAAGACCAGCGCTATTACCAAGCAACGAGCTTCCAAATTGTTATATGAAAATAAATATTTGCAAAGTGAAACTTTTTAGTTTGATGGTGTCTTCCTCTGTATAAAGGTGGTAATTTATCTTTTCACGATATACATGTATTTCCTCGTTTCGGACTTGAAACCAAGACTCCCACAACACCAAGCTCCAACTGAGCTAAATGGATAACACCCTGAGGCGCTTAATAAAAACTCAAACCACTACATATACAAAATAATGCAACATACAATACAGTTGTCCATGAAAAATGTTGATAACCTTCTTTTCTTAATCCCGATACAAAAAATAACACTTAGGTGTGAATTAGCACATGACCTCGCCCAGATCAACTAGGATTGAATTAGAACTCTAGAAGAATTTTAGAGACTTTTGTAGTACACACTACAGGTTAGTATCAGCATACCATATGTTTATCAAGTTCCTTATGTCCTCTGTTAATCAAGAAACATGTTCTCTCTTCTTACTTGTGACTATCCAACTTTATATATTAATGTAACCCCTTAGTTTTTATTATTGTTAAATTACGTGTCCTTGATGTTAAACAGAGTTAGTGTATTTTATATTGTACTTCAAATTCTTTCAACTGTAGTGACTTTGTAGAATCTAAAGAAATTTTGTATCTTTACTTTTGGTTTGAAATTACATAAAATTTTAAATTGTGGATAAATATGTCCAAGTAGCTTAACTAATTTTTCTTAATAGTTAATCCGGTATGTGGAAGAAATAGCTATAATCGCATTACGAAAGTTGGGTCAGCTGAAGAAAAAAGAATGCTAAAAATTAAACACTGTATTGATCATTGTAAAAAAAAAAGTGCTCTGAATCGACAACACTGTTCTTCTTAAGATATGAATCTGTTTACTTTAAATATTGTAATGTTGTTTCCAACTTCTTGGTAACTAATATTATACTGATGCTGTTAACTAGCACTGCAATTGGTAAATATGAAACGTTATTCAGTTGATACCGTTAAATGAAAACGCGATTATATTATCAGCTGAATATTTTAAAGCCATTGTTAATTCGTAATTGCATTGTAATGTTCTGTTACGTTTGTTTGTTTTGAATTTCGCGCAAAGCTACACAAGGCCTATCTGCGCTAGCCGTCCCTAATTTAGCAGTGAAAGACCAGAGGGAAGGTAGCTAATCATCACATCGCCATCTCTTGGCTATTCTTTTTACCAACGAATAATGGGATTGACCGTTACGTTATAATGCCCCTACGGATGAAAGGGCGAGCATGTTTGACATTGTAACAATACTGACTATTCTCCTTGTTTATTTATTACATGTTTGTACGTTTCAGAGTCCACAGGTGTGTCCAGTCAGAATGTCACGAAGTAAAGACGTGAAGTGTAACTAAGTCTAACAGCCCCAGCAAATTGTCTCGTAATGATGATATTATATAGAGTAAAGTAACATTCTTTCTACACACTTTCTACATTCACCAATCTACCGAGTTTTTATTAATCTTTCACTTAAGATGTCAAATAGAGATACTAATTGGTAACAGATACAGCAAAAATGTTAGAATAAAAACTATTTCATCCTATGTAATCATAGCAGAACCATTTTACAGAATACATGAAACGAAAACGGTTCATAAAAAATCACGCACTTTTTCAGCCAGTGGCGAATACTATTTGAAACTGGTTTTAAATTATGCTATTAAGCAATGTCTATTGGTACACACGTGGTAAAAGTACAGCTTAGGGTTTGGATAAATCTTTCAGGATGGAAGTGTTGCAATAAATTCAGTTTGATAATACATATGTTATTCTTTGTCTTGTCTTCCTTCCGGCTGGCAGGGAGCTTATCGGAACATTCAGTCAGTGCCGGAGGTGTTTTCAAGTGGAAACCGGACATTCATTCTTGGGGATACAGTTACCATTAGGACCTCTAACAAGTCCGTTGCTACAAAAGCACCCCATAATACACTGCTGTGTGCAGTAAACCTGTGCTTGATGAAATCTACGCCTCACGTCTGCACACGTGTAAATACCACAGGCAGATCCACAGGACAAGTATATTTCGTCAGGTCGTTCACACGAGTCCCAGTCTTTAAGATGAGCGCTGTGACCTTTTGAAGGAAAAAAATAATTTTGACTTTCTGTAAAAACCTGACTACTAAATAATGGCATACATGTATTGTAAAATTGCAAGAACATAATAAAGAAAACAATTTTAGAAATCGCTGGTCAAAGCAGTGTGCCTGTCACGTTTTAAATAAATTCCTGTGATTTATTGTCATGTAAAAAAAAAGTACATAAATACTAGGCTTAGGAATTTGTAGACTTCTGGATATGTGTATTACTGTAGTGAATAATAAATGTACACGTGTTTATATGTCAGAGCCTTAAGTTATTTCTCCAAATAGAAATGTTTTTGCTTTAATATTGTCTTTTCAACTTTTAAGTCCAAAGCTCATAATTAAACATGACGAATAAAAAGGCGAATGAGGAAAAAAAAATCATTTTATACTATACATACATACAGAGGTTAAAGTTGAAATCTGGAGCTCAGGGGGAGGGGGCCAATGCTTAACCTTCTAGGTCACTCCTCTTAGAGAACTTTAAAAAATCAGTTATTCAGTATAACAGTATATTAAGAACATACTGCATGTTAGAGAACATGTAAGTCACCATAAGTTTGGACGACCACCAAAGTCGAACGACTTTGCGTGACAAGATAAAAGTTTATTCCATCGCTACTAGCTGCACCTAGTCTTTCTGTCTGTGATCTTTATGGGAGTTTAGGTCTTATAGCTCCTTCACAAACTATGAATTATCATATCAAAGACTAACGTAGTAGCTACTATGTTTTGCAATTGCCATAGTTTTTCTGGCTTCACTTAATAGGTAGAAGATTAAAGTTAATTTGATATAAACGTAAGCCAGTAAAAAAGAATTTCACCAAAGTTACACACGGACGATCTGCGCATAATAATCCCTAGTCTTCAACTGCAAACTTTTGCTATACACCCTGCACTCTAAATCTCTCCCCGCCCTCTGGAGCCATTGTTGTTCTAAAACAGTAACGATTAAATCTCACTGTTCGTTTAGAGTAAGTAACCTGGAACTGGCAGTGGATACTGTTGAATATCTTCTGGTCTGTTAGTTCAAAGTTAGGAACGGCTAGCCCTTGTGTAGGTTTCATGGAAATTCTGAAACTAACAATCAAGATATCTATTTATATGTATTTTATTTTATATGCACTTCATTTCCATTTTCTAACACGCAAAAATAACGTGAAAGATAATTATTAAATATATCATATTCAGTATGAGTACACTAAACGGCCCGGCATGGCCAGTTGGTTAGGGTCGCGGGTTCGAATACCCGTCCCACCAAACATGTTCGCCCTTTCAGCCGTGGGGGCGTTATGATGTGACGGTCAATCCCACTATTCGTTGGTAAAATAGTAGCCCCAAGAGTTGGCGGTGGATGGTGATGACTAGCTGCTTTCCCTCTAGTCTTACAATGCTAAATTAGGGACGGCTAGCGCAGATAGCCCTCGTGTAGCTTTGCGCGAAATCCATAAGAAACAAACAAACAAGTACAATAAACTTCCCCGTTTCAACAATTAGTGCAGAAAACACTTACCAGGAGCTACAAACATTAAAACAATCATGAACAGCAGGGTGATAAAAGATTTCATTTCGTACTGGATATTCGTTACGAGGTTTCTTCTTCGCAGGCCAGTTTGTGTATAATACTTATCTATATCAGAACAGAACAGGGCTTTTTATACTAACTAAATAGTCCCGCTCCCCGTTTCTTGGATTTACTAACAGGGTTACCCAACTTGCGAAATTAACTGAAAACTTGTCTTCTATTTCAAAATCTTGTGTACGTTGTTTTCAAGGGAAACAGTATGTCGACATCACTTCAGATCCGCTTCCTGCCCAGTTCTAATTGATTCTCTTCTCTTTGTTAAGGTTTCGCGAGCGAGGCTGTGTTGTCCACACTATAATCCTATGGCAACAGGTTTTACCGTTTTGCTACTGGGAGACTTTGAATGACACATGATGTAGACATCGTATACTTAAATTATAGACTGTGCCAGACATTAGGACACATGCAGCCGCCATGTAGCGCAAGCAATGACAACAACCCTGTAGCACTAAATAATTTTAGAAAATCTCTAAAAATATTTCATAGCTGTTTTTAAAGAAACACAATTTTATTTCATCAAATATGAGAGCGTTTATTACAGTACATTTTTACGTCATAAATGTTTTAGTAAATTACTGTTGCTTTGTGCATATCGTTGTAAGTTATTATTTGTATATATTTTAATGTAGATGTTTGTTTGCTAGAGGTAGTTTGGCATCACATAATGATGAGGCAATATCTAGAAGCTATGGGTAGTAAGTAGAAAAAAGTAATGATAGAAAAATATCAGAGTAAATTAGTTAGTTAATCGGTGAGTTATTATTGAGTTAATCAGTTCAGTTTCAAGTAGTGAGTTAGTCAGTGAAAGTTCATTCATTTGTGATTGAGTTGGTAAGATAATTAATTAGTTAGCGTGTTTTTTTTTTTGTTATCGATGTGATAAAATCATACAAGTAAGATTATAAGTAAGTTAGGCGTAGGTGCCACTTGTTTTGGAATTTCTTTTCTAAACGTTTTTGTGAAGTTAATACTATCAGTGAACGTAGCCTGTAGCAAATTTTATTGAAGAAGTAAATTAATTCGTTATCGTTATATAGACTGGACTTCGTATATTTTTTACCAAATAATCAAAAACAACTCACTAAACAAAAGACCAAGTTAAAAAAATTTTATTTAAGAGTAGTACACAAAGAATAGTTAAAATATTATGCAAAAAATATTACATAACTTTTAAAGAAGAAAGTTTTATTTCAGTAGTTGTGAGACTATTACATATTCATTATGTTTTCTATATTATAATTAATTTAATAAATTATTTCTTCTCTGTGCAAATTCTTGAAAAACTGAACATACACTAATTATGTAGTCCACCTGTAAGTAATGAATGCAAGGCATACTAATTTTGGTGTAGCATATTTTATAGATATTTCAAAGCTGGACTCCACTTGGGAGATTGGAGTAAAGCAAACACTTTCAAGAAACGAAATCACAACTGTGGTTTTGGAAAAAAAAGTGCAGAAATACACGTTTGACATGTATTTTAACATGAACTGCAATGTAGTACCATCTTTAACCAATCGGTCAGCTTACTTCGAGCCAAAGAGCGTGTCTTTGATGAGGGGTGTTAATTCTTCAGTTTTGATAAATTTGACCATCTCTGTTTTGGTGGTGGGGTATCCTTGGCTGACGAGCTCTTCTTTAATTTTTTTATGTAGTGATGACTCAGGATGTACTCCTGATGACCACTTTTTTCTGCCCTGGAAGCCACCAGGAACATGGATGTCATGCAGTGGATAGCCAGTACTTTTAAAGTTTGACCTACTCTTGGAGGTGGTGGCACTTGATACAAATTCCACCCTTGAGTAGACCGCAGATCTTTTTAAAGGTGATGGTTATGAACACCTACTTAAGTTTAGTGACAATGTGTGTAAAAGATGTAACCCTCCTTCTACGATGATGGCTGGATGGGGCTTCATTGATAATTACTGGTTGGGGTAATCATCTTTGGTGTAGAAATTCTCAGAGCATTAGTAGCTACAGCTATGTCCTGTTGGTTTAACTGCTTCTTTGTTTTTCTTCTTCATGATCGGACTAGATGGTATCTTAGAAAATTTATCCCTGATGAGGCTTGTAGTATTGTAGAGGATCTTGCTGATGAACTCGTTACAGATAAAATCCTTGAACTTCTATCCAAGTGGTCGTTGTCACCTGGATTTGTAGATAGTGTTGCAGTAATTCTCCAACATGTCGGAGTTAACAGTTAATGTCATTTTCCACCTACTGGCATCTGGGCAATTTATTCATTAAAAGGGCTAGCAACTGATCGGGAATGAGAAAAAACCAATATCAGAAAAATACCTACCTGAATTACGCCAATATCTTCTTTCATCTGCTGTTTTATCTGTTCTCTTTATGTGCTTCCTGGCTCTCACACACAAATGGAAAAATGACCAGTCTTTATAAGATTTCATCATTCATAACGTGATTACCATGCTTCCAAGACCAATGTTGGCGTGGAGAAGGGTTGCCAGATTTCACAATGAAATACGTCCTATGGGGTCTCAAGACAAGACAAGGATCGGATAACTTTTTTGGCATAATTTCGAAACTTGTTATTTGAACATATAAAATGTGATAGATATACCCGATCAAAGGTAGGTGCAGTATACATATTCAGCAGTCTCAAAGATTTTTCACTTAAGCATAACATGTAAAACATGAATGTCTGGTAGTTAGAAAATCTTTAATAATTTATTTGACATTTTTCTCATTCTTTAAACAAAACAAAAAATGAGACACAAATTGTTGTATTCATGAAAATTGATATTAAGTATGTTTTAATATTTCTACTGAGAAAAGGAACAAAAAGAAATACTTTGAACATGTTTTTTGTTTGTTTGTTTGAAGTTAAGCACAGGCCTACATAATGGGTTATCTGTGCTCTGCCCACCACGGGGTATCGAAACCCGGATTCTAGCATTGTAAGTCCGCAGACATACCGCTGTGCAACTGGGAGGCTTTTAACGTGTAAAACGAGCATCAAAAAGTCGGTATTTAATAGTCAAAAGTATCCTGAAGAAGAATAGTGAACTATTCGAAAGCACTCGAGTTTTGGGTCTCGTTTGAAAGCCACTACAACTTTTATATGTGATCCTGTATGCTAACTTCTTATTCAAAATTTATGTTTTATTTGTGAAAGAAAACAGTAAGTGTCCTACAGAACATTGCCTGAAAAAACTATGAACAGTTTAGAAATTTATTCCATACTTTCACAAGATTTGTGTACAAAAAGAAGTTTGTAGGTGTGTTTGCCAGTGATCAATTCCTAATACCATGCATTAGACAGTCTCAAAGTTTTATGCAATTTTAATCTTCAATGGAATGTTCTATAGAAAATGGATTGATAAACAATAAGTCATTCATTTATTATTTTTTAGGTGTAGCAAAATGAATTAGTGTATATATTAAACTATGCGAAATAATGGTTTGAACATAATTATATCTAGACAGTGATGGTGTAATCATATGTGGAAGTATTGTGTCTGCCTTTGTAAAACTCGAGTACAAAGGCAAACTCGAGTATGATAAAACTATAAAGTATCATGTGTAAAATGAAATATTTTGTCAAGTTATAGCATAAAGTCAAACTAGTGAAAGTGTAAGATTAATTATTGCATAATATTTAATAAACATTTTATTGATGACATAATCGCATGTTGAGACATTGAAAATCAATTTGTTTTAGTAACACAATGTATATATACAATACCATCCACCTTTGTAAAACATGAGATAAAACTATAAAAGTATCATGTGTAAAATGAAATATTTTGTCTTGAATATTAACTTAGCACCGAAAATCTTTGAAATAATCACTTGATTTGTGATTAAAGAGTCAAACAGTAAGTTTGATTATTTCATGATATCGTCCTTTTAGCATGATTTAAATATAATTTGTCAGGAAATGTAATTAAATGTAGAACTAATAATTTGGTATTAAGCATCTGTTTTAGGATGATTTAAATATAAATGGTCAGAAAATGTAATTAACTAATGAATTATTTTATACCGACTGTATTAATTATTGTAATATTGAAACAACATTAACATCAAATTTATGCTGGTCCCAATTTGTGGAACTATGACGTCATAGCCGCCTGTCATGGTGGCCTAGAAACATTTTCTTTGTTTTCATAGAACTATTACGTCATAGCTGTTAGCTGTCTCTCTGGTATGAAACTATAATTTCAACCCTCTTTAAGATAGCTGCGTCCTCTGGTGACACTTTGTGGAACTATTGTGTTATCGTCTTTGGTTACATCTCTCCTCTCTGAGTCCGACACACCTATGGTGCCTTCTAGTGGCGTGCCATGCAAATGGGGCCCTAACTAGTAATGACAAACTCGTTTTGAACAAATGCCTAATTAATTGAGTAGTGTATAAAGTAATAAAAACTTTTTATGTGTACCATGAGATATTTCTACAAAATAGCAGATTTATTATGTTTGGTCCCAGAAGCTTGACACCACACTTAACTATCCTACTCTAGTGGAAAGTTGGGTAAGCAATATGTGAAGGCTAATTTCTATTGATTTCCAGTCCAACAACACTATAAGTACTCAGAGATAATGCAAGGTTGGGGCCCTCCAGTGAAATGTTGTATTTTCAAGGTACAGGTTTGTAGTGGTCAAGACTGAATGTTACAGACAACTAATGCCTAGAAATGTTACATACATTTTAAATATTATAGAAATAGTTATAAAAAACTAACACTTATGACAGGCATGGCTGTCATGCAGATTGGTCTTGTCATGATAGAATAGTTAATGTCAAGGAACGAAATCTTCTTAATTGGATGGATTCATAGTAGTAATCGGAAATCCATAATTGCATTGGAGAACTTGCTGTCTGGACTATTTTAGGTGAGTTGCTCTATTTTGTTCCATCTAATTTACACATTTTGATTAAATTATTGTGTGTGTGTGTAAATTGTCAATACTCATTTTGATATATATATTTAAGATTAAGGTTTTCACTAGCTGCAGTGTATATATGCTTAGGTTAAGGTTTAGATTAAAGTTATAGGTGTAGTGTGAATGTGTCTAAGTTAAGGATAACTTCATGTTTGATTTTCTATGTAAAAAGGATATTATTATTATATGTGCATACATTGATATGCTTTGCTAAAGGAGCATTTGCTTATATTTTGATTGGTACCATATTCTTTGTTTAAGGGTGTAGTTAAAATAGCTTCACATATTTATATGTTAAAGGGTCAGTTTGAATAAGTTATTTTCTTTGTTAAATGTTTTTTTGTGTTTATGTGTTTTTTAATTTATGCTTAGCTTTTTATACTACATCTAGTAAATGAAGTAAGCTTGCTATATTTGAGGACTTTTTTGTTTATTATGTAGTGTAGTGCATATATGTAATTTAATGTCTGAGGTTAACTTTGTCACTCTTTGCATATAACTATGGAAAAGGCTTTCAGGCATATTTTCTATGTTAAAGATTTATTATTTAATATGTTTTCTATGTAAAAGGGTTTCAAATTTACACATGTACCATTATTGCTAAAGAGTTTTCTGTTATGTGTATGATTATTATTAAGGGTAAATGTTAAATGGCTGTTTTAATGTATCTTTGTTAAAGAGTATTTTTATGCATTTTAGTTTAACTTTTGGGCATGGCATGTTAGCTCACCCCTCATTAATTAGATATATGTGTGAATTATAATATATTAGTGCTGTTTTGTACTTTATTGTATTTTTTTTAAGTTTTATGGGGCAAGTGATGTATGGGGGAAGAGAGAGTTATTTTGAATTCTTGAGCACTACATCCTAAAAGTTAGTTGTGACTTTTGGGTTTGTGATAGTTGTAGAGTATGGAATGGCTTGGTTTTGCCTGGATAAAAAGGTAGGAGGAGACTGTTGTATGGGGATCTAACATATGTTTTCACCTTTTTTAGTTAAAAAACAACAACTCAAAATTATGTTACCTTTCACAGTTCCCCCAGAGAGGTGCTCAGCTGAGTTACTAACTATTAATTTTCTTTAAGAGGTGAATTAGGCTAAGTGAGGATTAAAAGAGTACTTGTCTGTTTCTCATATATGTATAATAACATTGTTTTTATTAATGAGATAAAATATTCTTGTCAGTGATTCAGATAATAGTTACCAGCTGATTTAATATAAACCAATCACTGTTTTCTTATGTCAGGAACTTGAGAGTTTATTGACATATTTAAGGCAGTTTTGGGGTTTGGAAGAAAAGAATTGCTTACAATTTACAGACATTTGACATAAAATTTATATATATTTTGATGCAGAGTTACACAGCTTTAGATTTTATGCAAATTTGACAAAGATTTCATAAAGGATTGAACTTAGGTTTCCAGAATGTTTAAATAAGTTCTGCTTCTATGCCAGGACTCCTAAAAAGTTCTCACATTAGAATTCTGGTAACTTGTTAGTATCTTTTTTAAGTTTTCTAGCAATAATAAGGTTAACTTTAAATATCATTTGTGCGAGGGCTGTTTGGCTTTTGATGTTAATTAAGTTGTTTACATTTATAGTAAGTGAACCTTATGGAAGCTGCTTCACAAATTGGTGAAGCATTAGTTTGTATTTTAAAGTAGGGAATGTTATTATTGGAGTAAAATCCATGTGAGAACTTTATATTTCACAATGGTCAAAGTGAGAGTTAACTTTATTGTCTTACATTTTTATTGGGGGTACTCTCTGCTAGTATTCTTTTATATTTTAGCGTAATTTACAGGATAAAGAACCCACACTAGCATTGGCTATTAAATTATTCATAAGTCTTGCCAGTGCTACAACTTTCTATTGTAAAACACAATTGTATTGATGTGTATTGTATTGCACTAATTATTGTTTGTATTATAAACTGTGAGAGCTTTATTAAATATTTGATGTCTGAGTAAATCTGTCTCTAGACTCTTTCTTTGTGACTCAACCGTTGCAACTCATTTGGAAATATACACCCTAGCTGGAGAACCTCTAGTTATTAGCGTGAGTAGTTAAGGGGACACTCCAGCAGTGGAAGCAAAAAATACGATCTTGACCCAATTTCGACAAGCTCATATAACATATCGAGGATATTGACCCATCAACAACACCAGGGGGCGTGTTGTTAGGCGATATAATAGAATTACAACAGTAGGCGCATTGCTTGGCGATATATTAGGATTATGTCATCAGAACCATGACCCATGACCTAATATGTACGTCAACAACACAAGGGTGTGTGTTGTTAGGTGATATAGTGGAATTGTGGCAGTGGGTGTTTTGCTATGTGCACATTTCTAGGTGGTATAATAGGATTATGTCAGCAACACCATGGGTGCATTATGATGAGTGCAATACTAGGTGACACCAGATGGCGTATTACTAACATTTATATTTTTCGTAGTATTTCATTTGATCTTATAATCTTTAATTTTATAATTTATTATCATGGAAACTTTCCAGGCCATTGTTGAGAATAATAATACAGAAAGCTAAATGTATATTTATGAAATTCTCAATTTTTGACGGTACATTAAAAAATTATATTCTAAGTTGCTACTTTCTGTTTTTGATATAGAACTTACATATTATTCATTTAAAGGTACCATTGTTTTGAATAAATCACCATTTTCAACAAAATCGTGAATATTTAGTTTACTACCTCTATCTTGAAACACATCTAATATAATATTTTTTATCTAGTTGAGTCAAAGCAGCCCTTAGATACTTTCATCGTGGTCTAACATCTCCCATGTATGAGCTGCTTCACTGAGATCACCGACTTGGTAAGCCCAGCTTTTGTATGACAGTGGATACATGTTCAGTATATTCTTAGAATACCAATTTTTAACCTTGTCATTAGTGCAATTAGAAGATCTTTCTGATTCTGTTTGTATTAATTGGTTTAATAATGAAGAATGGATTTTGTATGCCACTGTGGTTAACAGCCAGTAAAACAAACTTATCTAGTTATGCACTTTAAATAACTATTGACAAATATCTTACCTTTCGAATTACACTTGTACACGTCTTCCAAGTTGAGAATAAGAATTCTGATCTAAATACTTGAGCATTCCAACTTTTATTTAGAAAAGTAACTTAAAAGTATCCCTGTGATGTTAAACAAAAAGTGCATCCTACAGATTGAACTAAAACTAAAAACTGAGGGAAAGAATAACTAGCCTACTTTATGAGAAAAACCTATGAACACCATTACCCATATGAGACATTCAAGGCATAGAGAGGCATGATTCAATTTGACAAGGTAATAGGAAGCACCTATAGTATGTAATTATAGGTGTGGTTTTAAGAAAAGAACAGTTGTGTAGGTATGACCTAAAAATGAAAACCCTATGTGTTTTATAAAGTTTACCTTGAGGGAATGAAGCATGCTCTAAAAAATTCTGGAAAATCTTATTACATCCCATGATGTGATGCCCAAACATATACAATTTAAGAGTTTCCAAACAACCTCCACCGTATGTAAGTACAGGTTGAAATAAGATGCCTCGTCACAGAAAGATAATGGTTGATAATCGTAGGCATAGTTGTAAAAAAGAATGGTTGTGTAAGTATGACCTTATAATAAAACTTCATGTGTTTTATAAAGTATTCCTGTAAGCAATTACATATAGTATATAAAGCCTTGAAAATATACTTAGTTTCAATCCATATACTAAAAGTAAAAGAGTAAGCACATGCTATAAATAACAGCCAGAGTTTTCAAGGGATGAAATGTTTGCCCAACAATAGTGAAGCTGGGTTAAGTATATGTCTAATTGTGTTAACAAATAACCATATTAATTTGGCATATTTAAATCAACAATTTTACATTTATGTTCTTTTCTTGTCCTTAAAAGACATCAAGAAAATGTCCCAGAGCTAAGACATGTAATATCACCAAAATGTCATCAAGACATGTCAAAAAATGTAATACCATGACCACGATGTTTAATGTAGTATTCAAAGAAGACTAATTCAGGCAGACTCTGAGGAACATTCTAAGTTCATTTAATGATAAAGTACAGAATATACTGGATGAGACAACACATCATTTGAATTCCAAAGATAAAGTCAGAGTCACTATATTCTCTACACAGTTAGATTAGCCTATTAGCATATGTTTAAAAAGACAAGGATGTGTTTTCACCTGATATGATCTTGTCAAATATCAAAAAGGTCGATCAGAGTAAAAAAAGGATTAACATTAGATGAATCATTTAAAACTGAGGTCCCAACTTTACAAATGTCTGTAGGTGGCAGTTGACATAAGATCACTAACATCAAGGCTGATCATTTGAAAAACAGTCAGTGCTAATAATAAAGAATAGCGATTATCTCTGCTGCATCAAGGGTACTATTTTAGATTTGGCATATCTCAGAAAGCCTCCTAATTATAAATTTATTAGTGATCAATGAAGATCACTACTTACATGCATGGACAGTGAACTCCATAATTCATGTAATGTTCCATTTGGTCTTTGTGGAATAGAAGAGATAACAGTATTTGAGCATCACATTGTGTCTTCAGATAATTTCAATAGAAGTATCCACAAAGGACCGTCATATCCAGAATAAATATACATTTGGTTTCATGAGAACCATTTCGATGTTATAACATCAACGAAGGGTTTTCTCAGTGTCTCATATTACTGTTCTGATTGTGACAAGGGGTTTACTATCTTAAATAAACAATATCGTGTGAGTTATTGTAACGTTTGTTACAGAAACGACAGTATAATCGATCAACTCCCCTGTTGTGCTGATTGTAACATATTTCATAAATCAGTAGACTATTATAACAGACGTAAAACTAAAAACAGAAAATAGAAAGTTTCATTGTGTGAAAAGTTTTTCAATATAAAATGTGTTTCATTACCACTGACAGGATAAAACATTGTCCTGGATTTCACAGATGTAGCAAAATACATTATCCAGGATGTAAAACAATTGTCATACCCTCTATGCATCTATGCTTCCTCCATTCAAAAGACTTTTAAGACTTATCAAAAATTATTCGTTTTTTTTATTTTGGGACTGACCAAGAGACTCGTGAAGTGAAATACTTAGTGGTCCACAATATTAATGGTAAAGAGACTGTAGTTAAAGTTTTGTGAGTTCTTATCTTCTGAGGAACATATGAATTACACAGCCATAGCTCATAACATGAAATGATTTAATGGTCTTTTTATTTTAAATTATCTTATCCATGAAGGGGTAAAACTCGACATTATTGTTAATAGCAGAAAGATAATTGACATGACTGTCAAACCCCCTAAAATTAGTGTGATCAATAGTTACAACTTTATCCCCTTGTCATTGTCATAATTCCCTAAAACCTTTTGTTTAACAGGATTACTGAAAGGATAGTTTCCTCAACTGTTTAAGACAAGGTAAAACCAAAAGTATCTAGGGCCTATACTCAATAGGAGCTTCTATTCACCTGACATCATGGAAGTACACATAAGATAGAAATTTCTGGATTGGCACTGATAGCGCCAAGAGGAAAGGTACATTTTCAATTTTCAAGATGAGATGAACAGGTAAGATTCGTCATCTTTTGATAGTTATGTTATTAAAAGTTATTTTACCTAAAGTTGTATGTTCTTAAAAATTGAAAGATACATAATCCTACAAGAGTGTGTGTATATGATAATAAACTGCCAAAAGTAAACTTTAGTAAAGTTTGTTGAAACACATACTTTATTTATTTTATCTCATTAGGTACTGTCAATCAGATGTTGACATACTCCAGCAGTGCTGTTTACAATTCAGAGATGAGCTCCTCGACACTTATGGTATTGACCCCATCATGTACATGACAATTGCTTGTGTATGTACAACCATATACAGAAACAAGTTTATACCACCAAAGTCTATAACACTTGTACCTAACCATGGATACAATACAACAAACAACAATAGTCAGGTAAGTATACAGTCATTAGACTGCATGCAACAGTCTGAAGGTGTAATATCCAACATACCCTTAATGGCAGTGAGATTAAAATAATAAATTACCGTGTTAACAGCTTCTGTAAGTATTGTAATACTATATATGAATTTTACGGGTGTTTCTATCACCGGTGTTTTTTATGTTGCTATCCTGACACAATGACTGTTGTTCTAAATAGACCCATGTGGTCTTTTAGAAAAAGTACATTGGACAGGCAGCATAAACATGAAGGTTGTTTCAATTTGGGAACATGAAGTTAATCATATGAATTCCACTGATACAAGTTTAATTAGTTTCCTTAAGGACCTCACAGTAGTTATCACCTGGATATACCGGAAATTTTCTATGCTACTAGACTTTTGTAGGATGTGAAGGAAGGTAAAAAGATCACGTACGTTGACTTTATTACTCTTTATCCATGGACGAATATGTACTGTGAGTATCCAGTTGACCATCCCATAATCATCACAACAAATTTTTCAGATGTACATAACTATTTCGGTTTCATTATGTGCCAAATTCTAGCCCCCAAGTAAACTCTATCATCCTGTTTTACCTCTGAGAAGTAATGGTAAATTAACTTTCTCTCTCTGTAACACATGTAAATTTAAGAATACTACCCCCGTGTAATTACTCAGATGATGAGAGAGCATTTATCAGCACATGGGTTATCAAGAAGATGAAAAAGTATTCTAGAGTGTCTACAAGATAATACAGATTTGTGAAATTTACATTTTCCCTGAAAGATCCACTCAACTCTTTAAAAATTATATAGAATCATTTCTAAAAATATAACAGGAAAGTTCAGGATGGTCCTTTCACTGTGTAACATCAGAGGCAAAACAGGCATTTATTTAACAGTATGCTGAAAAGGAAGGTGTGCAACTGACCCCTGAAAACATAAATTTAATCCAGGCAAAAAGGGCAGTTGCAAAACTTTATCTTAACTCTTTCTTGGGTAGTTGAGGTATGTCTGAAGACCTACATAACATCAATTAACTCTCTCATCATGGGCTCGGTCAATTTGACCAATAACGTGACCTCTTTGTACTCACTTAAAGTCATTATAGATTTAATATTTCTAACTTTCAATATAGTGTATATATCTCCACAAAATTTGCCAGTCTTTCAACAACAAAAAATCATATTTTTAGTGAAGTATTTTTAATAAAATAAAGATTTGCCCATTAATATATTGAGTATTTGTTTTGAATAGCCCGTGTGCAAAGTAATTTTCATGTTAAAATTAAAAATATTCTTCCTCATCTCAGAAATCTCAAATTTGATTTTTGTACTCCCTAAAACCTTCTAAATGCATTTCAAACGTTTTTTTAGTAAAACTTTATAGTTTACTTGTTATTTTATCTACCTTATCTCAAAAGGTGAAGAGAGTTAGCTATAATTTTCATACTATAGACAGTTGTGCACTTAATAATTTTCATTTAATTAAATAATGCATCAAAGAGTATAGAACAATAATATGCAAAAAGTAAACAAATTTACTTACCTCTCAAAATTTTCCTGGTTTTTTAATTATGCAACAAGAGCCTTACAAATTCATCCAAGCTATTCGTTAACTTTCCCACGGGAAATATGTTGATACTCCAGTGAAATTGACGATATTCTGTTCTGAACACAAGGTTATAAAATACGTCATTTGATAGATGAAAACCTTGACTTTCTATTGGTTATAGGTAATATATATAATGAAAGGTAAGATAGAGCTATCAACGAATTGTGAAAGAGAGGATTTGACAGGAGGATGTAGCAGAGGGGTCTGATTTTCTATGTGATAGCTCTGCAACCAAACAAAATTGAAGGCTATAAAAATTATGGTTTGTTTGAACAATAACGATTTTATAGGGAGTATTTTACGTACATTTTCGAGGAGTGGTGGATAAAATAAGGATGATGACATGCTAAGAGAAAATGTGTCACATGGACACACTAGTAGAAATTCGGGATTTTTTTAAATATTGCCTTGTAGAATTAAGAACTTAAAAATTTGTATACTATTAAAATATGGATTATTAGTTAAGATTTTATGCTATTCTAATTGGTATAACATAAACAAAGAGTACTTTAATAAAATTTTGAACGTAAGACACTAAACCTCGTGTAATGTGCATTAAAGGGTACCCAGGGCAATAGGGTTAAACAGTATTACTTTTTAATGAACAATAACACCAAAATTAATAGATATTACACTAGTCAATGACAAAATTATTGCTCTTCATTGCAGACAAAAGCACGAGTATCTATATCAGAAAGATCAAATAGATATCTTTCTGGTGGCTTTCACTACTGCTGACACATACCTGATATTGTACTGTTACGTCTCTGGTCGTCAGTTAAGTTTCCGTATAATTTATTTCCGAAGAAACTTTAGCGATACAAGTCCTTTCTTAAATAAAACTAGTTTATTCTTTCTCAATA